AGAACTAATCTGACAATACAGAAAATGAGTTCACACTGATACTTTCAGAAACTTCCATATTTCTATCCTTTGGCAATATATTTTCTTCCTTAAAAAAAATGAGCCTTATGGGAGCTCAAACCGGATAATCTTATTTTCATCCTGTGTTCCTTTTTTATATGGAGGAGTAATAAGAAAAATCATTCTGATAGTATTTTGACACTACCCAACTATTTGAACTTGGATCACTGTGGAACATTTGCACAACCCAGCATTGCTTACCTTTTCAGGAACAATTACAATCAGTGTTAGTGGCTTTGCTTTGTATTTGGAGAAGTAGCACTAATTCCAACTTTTACTTTACATTGTAAGGAGGTAGGGATAATTTTATGTCCTTGAAAGATAATTATTTAAAATTTCCTTTTAACGAATGAATGATGATGCATATATATGCCCCTCAAAATACTACTCATTAACAAAAAAGAGAGGTAAAACTCACAAAAGGAAAGAAAAGTGAAGGAAGTAAATCCGATAGAAAAATGGTAACTTGTGTGCCCTCCCTAATACAGCTAAAGTTGACATAATCAATATAGCAATCAAGAGCCATACAATCAAGACTTATACACCTGCCTTTTGCAAAGCACACTATACAGAAATTTCTTTTCTGTATACACATTTAAATATATTAATTTAACATACAGCTATACAAATATAATTTATCTATGTATATGTAATTTCAAAATATAGTACTATAAAAGCCGTTAGTAAGCTATTACAGTTGAACCTAAGAATCTTATATATACCACTAAAGGTCTGGCTCATACAGGTTATTGCCACAGAATAAATATTCCTGTGTGTATATATATCAGAAAAAAATATATATGCATATAAATATACCCTGAATTTATTTATCTTTATCATCATCATCATCATCATCCTCATCTATAATTTATCTGTCTATATGGAAAACCCTGACATCTAAGATGCTTCTTTCCCTGTCTTGATCTCTATCTGTATCTCTGTCTCCCGGTCTTCTATCTCTAGTAGGAATACTTTTCTGTGAACCTGTGCTCTAATCTCCATCTGATGATTTTCATACTATAATTTTCTGGTTTTATTCAGTTAATTTCAAATCTCTGGGATGTATTTCCCTTTAATTATGTTTTCCTTCAACCTAGAAATAGTAAGCCCTGCTTCAAAAATTTTACACTTACTTGTAAGAAAAGCTTAGTCCTTAACAGCCTGTTTTTAATTATTATCTTTAAATATTTGTACAAAAGAGTTCACATTTAACAGAGCAGTTTATGAATACAACATATTTTGATCATTGCTGCTTAGTGATCTATACCTGCACAAGGTATTTTTCTTTAATGGTTTTTCTTCCTGACATTTAATGATTGATGTGACTATCAAGGTAGGTATAGCACTTATTAACACTTTCTCTGTTCACAATAGTAATTAGAAAAAAAATTTAAATATATCTCTGTTTGCTGAATGCTTACTACATTAGAAAGTAGCAAATAAGACTAAATAACTTTGTAATTTCCTGAAACAAAAAAATTATTCAAAAGTGGAGCTGTGGCTCAAGTAGTAGAGCGCTAGCCTTGAGCTGAAGAACTGAGGGACAGCGCCCAGGCCCAGTTCAAGCCCCATGACCAACCAAAAAAAATATATTCTTTACCTTATTCCAAGGTCAGTAAATATAATTACTAGGACGATACAGCAGGGCAGATTCTGTATTTCTGCCTGGCTCAGTCAGTTCCAAAGATACCAGCAGTAAAAGGCTTACCCAAATAAATCAATTTACCCCTTGTGGAAGTGGACATTCCATATGTCCTTTCACAGCTAGTGCTCCCTATGTAGAATTCCTTGGCAAGTGCTAAACAAATCTTTTCACACAGAATCTACCTATGAACAGACTTTATGAATGATGCTAACATTGTATTTACTCCCAAGTCTCAATCTCTGATTTTATGTGTTGTCACTGAGATTTTAGCAGAGTTTTGATGATACATAAATGATTTATTCACTGGACATTTTGAGTATGTGTGTGTGAGTGTATGTGTGTGTGTGTGTGTGTGTGTGTGTGTGTGTGAGTGTGTGTGTGTGTGTGTTGGCCTGTTGTTCCAAATTACTTTGAATATTAAGAAGACTTAACAGAGGATGTTTCATTTCTCCTTTTGGAATAAGAAAACAAAGGAGAAGGTAACAATGCTAAATAGGAAATATACTCATTACCTTACTCATGTAACTGTAACCCCTCTACAGTATTTTTACAATAAAAATATATATTGAAAAACAAAAAAATATGGGCTGGGAAAGTGGCTCAGTGGTAGAGCATTTGCCTTGCATGCATGAGGCCCTGGGTTCGATTCCTCAGCACCACATAAGCAGGAAAAAAAAGGTGGGAGTGGCACTGTGGCTCAAGTGGTAGAGTGCTAGCCTTGAGCTGAAGAGCTGAGGGACAGCGCCCAGGCCCAGAGTTCAGGCCCACGACCGGAACCAAAAACAACAACAACAACAACAAAATTATGAAAGCCCACATGAAATATGATACATAAATTAAAGGACATAACAGTACACTGACATTCAGCCAACCCAAATCAAACCATTTGTAATGAAGATCATTTCAGCATAATGATTTATGAGGATTTATGATTTATATTCCCCTGCTTTCTTCCTCTCCTGGCCCCAGCTTTTAACTTCACCCCAACCCTGTTCTGAGACTTATTATTTTTACAATTCATTGAGAAAGAAGAGATCAGAGAGATTGTAAAGATGATCATAATAAATATGAATGAATAATGAATGATCCATGCACTCTGATTCACAGTTAAACCCCAAACTCAGTATGAAACTCTAATCCAGATGCATCTGAGGGAATGGGAAGACTTCCTCCTAGCTTCCTGGTTAAGGAAGTAAAAAGTCAAATATAAAACTCCTATAGGCCGAACACACTTAGAGAATTCAGCCTGTGCTAACCTTGTCAATGAACTGAGAGGAGGAAAGTTGGTTTGAGACCCAAGATGGGAAAGAGGGCTCTGAGGAGCTCCGAGCAGATGAAACTTCCTCATTCCTTCAAGACACTCTAGATTTGACTCCCTTTAAACCTAAAATGATTTACAAAGCTTCAAAATGACTTCTAAAATAGGACACTTACTTCATTATTTTTTCTGCCAGCGTGCAGAATGTGACCTTAAGATGGAAATTAAATTTAGTTTTACAGAAATAAAAAAGAAACAATTTCCTTTCTTGGGACACTTGGCAGTTTTGAAAATGCACACTATACATAACAAAATTAAAAGATGAATATTTCCAATGAAATTACCCACTAGAGTTTTGGACCACAGGATTGTTTAATTTAGTCATCTTTTTTTCTGTTTTTTTTTTCAAATAACTGAGTTATCTGTACTACTGCAGTTTATTCATATTGAAGACAAAAAGGTAATCCATATTGAAATTCATAAGAATTCCAAGGCTGTTTGTTCTACATGTGAAATGAACATGTCTTTTTCCCAGATTTGGCCATTAAAATGTTATTATACAACCATTAAATTGAAGTCAAAACGACGGATCAATATCCATTTCCATTCTCTGATTGTTGGAGCCAAAATGAGATTTTATCGTAAATGAGCCACAGGCAGGATAATGTTCCTATCGCTTTGATATAGTTAAGAATTTCTCTGGAACTTCTCATTTTCTTAATGGATGCTGCAAATTGTCAGCAAAGTATCCCCCATACCCAAAGAAATGTGATTTAATAGTCCTTAGCCTTTATCATATTGTACTAACATTTGAAGTAGAATGGTGTAAAAAAAAAATAAAAGTAGCTCCTTGCTACTTTCTCTGGAACCCACCAGATTGAGAGGATACCATTTTAAGTTGAGCAAGTGCACACACTAAGCCAGGTCAGGTATGAATCCTGTAAGGCTGGTTTTTGTGTTTATGCTGTCCCAAATGAGTACCATTATCATCAGTGGTTTGTGTGTGACTTACAGTGAACAAACAGAATGGATTGTACAGAAGCATCCATCCCACTACATGACTGTTATACCACTAGGACAGAAGTAGAACATTATAGAAAAAGAGGCAATAGTTTTCAACATTTTTTTTTTTGCAGTCATAGGGCTTGAACTCAGGTCCGGGGCATTGTCCTTGAGGTGTTCTGCTCAATGCTAACAATCTACCATTTTGTGCCACAGCTTCACTTCCAGTTTTCAACACTTTTGATCCAAGGAAGAAAACCTATTACATAGATTTATTTAAACTTTTATAAAATATACTTGAATTCAAATAGATAGTATGGATTTGATATTACCTAAAATTATATGATATATGGAAGTATACATTATTCAATCCCAGAAAAAAGCTATCTGCTGTTTAAAGCTATCTACTGTTTTCTTTTCTTTTCTTTTTTGTCAGTTGTGGGTCTCAAGACCTGGGCACTGTCCATGGCTCTTCAGCTCACGGCAAGTGCTCTACCACTTGAACTACAGAGCCACTTGTAGTTTTCTGGTGGTTAATTGGAGATAAGAGTCTCACAGACATTCTTGCCTGGGCTGGCCTTGAACTGCAATCCTCAGATCTCAGCCTCCTGAGTAGCGAGCATTATAGGCATGAGGTGGAGCTCAAGGACAGCGCCCAAGCCCAGAGTTCAAGCCCTATGACTGCCCCTGCCCAAATGCATAGTGATAGCATCTAAAAGTTTTGTTAGACACTTTTTTTTACTAAGTGCCAGCCACACATAGATATTATAACTCATTACTAAAAAGATATCTAGAAAGGTTTTCACCTCCTTTCTAGCTTCTATCTTTTGGGAGAACTTTGCTGTGACTAAACTGTTTCTTATAAAATTCCATGTATTGAATTCTTAATCACAGCTAACCCTACAAATGAATGTATTTAGACTGACAAAAGCCTTTAAAGATGTTATTGTGCTAAAAAAATCATTTAAATGATCCCAAATCCAATATGACTGGCATACTTATAAGAAGAAGAGACTTGGACAAAAACACACAGAGAGCAAAAACAATGTAAAGACACATGGAGAAGACACCAAGATATTTACATATATATGTACTTCTAAAAACAAAAAAAAATTTATTTTCTTGGAGCACCTTGAAATTTTGAAAATGTATACTAGCATATTATAAATAATAAGATTAAAGGATTAATGTCTCCAATAAAATAACCCACTAGAGTTTTTGACCACAGGATTGTTTAAATTCGCAATTTTGTTCCATTTTAAAGACCTGAGTTATCTGTAACACTGCAGTTTATTTATTTATTTATTTTTATTGTGAAAATACTGTACAGAGGGGTTACAATTACATGGGCAAGGTAATGAGTACATTTCTTATCAAGCATTGTTGCCTCCTCCTTTGTTTCTCCTTTCCATCCCTTCCCATCTTCCCCCCCCCCAAAGTTGTAAAGTTCGTTTTTTGACATAACGATTTGTACATCTCATTGTTGCAATGGGTTCACCTGTATCCCTAGTTAAACAATTTGTTTTTGCCCTTCCCCTCCACAATTATACCAACATCATATACAGTGAAAACAAGGGTCATACCGTGGGGGAAGGACATACAAAGCAACAAAGAAATCATCTTATAAATATGTTAGAAACAATCACAAGAAAGAAAATACATTTGAATCCTTATCTTGGGGTTCATTTCACCTAACATCATCTTATCTGACCGTTTCTGCTTTTCTCAGACGTATACTAGTTATTGCAGATAAGGGAAACCATGGGACATCTGTTTCTTTGGGCCTGGCTTACTTCACTTAATATAATTTTTTCCAAGTTTTTCTATTTCCCAACAAATGGGGCAATGTCATTCTTTCTGACCACAGACTCCACTCCCAAATTTCTCAAGCTGATTCAAAACTTTGGCAAAAGTAGCAGGGTATAAAATCCACCCTCAAAAATCAATGGCTTTGCTGTATGCCAACAATGAGAAAAGCATGGCTGAAATCAGGAAAGCAACTCCATTGGTAATAACCCCACAAAAAATACAGTATCTAGGAATTAACTTAACCAAAGAAGTGAAAGACCTCTATGATGAAAACATTAAAATCTGAAGAAGGAAATCAAAACAGAACTTAGAACGTGGAAAAACCTCCATTGCTCCTGGCAATACTTCCCAAGGCTATCTACAAATTCAATGCAGTTTATTTATATTGAAGACAAAAAGGTAATCCATATTGAAAATAGTAAGAATTCTTTCTATGTCTAGAGAGACAGACAGAACTCTTTATAAATAAATTATATATGTATCAGAAGGAACAATCCCTCTAGAATCTTGAATGAGAGAAATTAAGTTGCTATTGTACTTTTTAAATGACAACCCTAGCAATCACAACCCTAGGAATCATGAATATATTCATGGGAGGCCCAGTATGTTCTGCCCTTGCATCTCTAGGCTGTATTTCAGTAAAAACACCATCAATATTACAGGTGGTGGCTCCTTCCATAGCCTTTCACCAGAGGGAATGTGAGGTAGAATCTAGTGACTTGCAATGAGCCTCATGCAAGCAAAAGTCAAATCTTGTTCAAACCTCAGGGAAAAGAAGGTATAGGCGTGACACAAACTACTCTTTTGTGACTGTTAAGTTCAGCCGCTCTTAAAGATTACACATCATGCTTATGATAATTATTTATGTGTGAGGAAAAAGTACAACCTTATATTTATATAACAAAAGCAATTTTTTCAAACCCGTTCTCTTCTTTAGTCCAAGTCCCACATCTGGGGAGATGAAAATGGTAAGTATTCTTTCTCTAGATTTGTTAAAGAATTAACTTTCTCAAAGGTGGACTTGACATTGTGTATGAGGCCATGATAAAAACAAGGATCAGAATCCATAATATTTCGACTACATTTCATTTTATATGTACGTATACATATATACATATATATATATATATATATGGATGGATGGATGGATGGGTATTAATTACTGATGCATCACTATGACATAATGCCAAACAAAGATGTTTAAAAGAGGAACGATAAAGCCAAGGGCTGGCAGCTTACTTGTAATCTTAGCTACTCAGGAGGTTGAGATCTGAAGATTATGGTTCAAAACCATCCTGGGCATAAAAGTCCATGAGAATCATATCTCCAATAAATTATGAAAGCTGGAAGTGGTGTTGTAGCTCAAGTGGAAGAGCACAAAGATAATCAGGGACAGTGCCTAGGCCCTGAGTTAAACCCCCAGGACTAGAAGAAAAAAAGAGGAAAGGAAAGGAAAGGAAAGGAAAGGAAAGGAAAGGAAAAGAAAGGAAAGGAAAGGAAAGGAAAGGAACAATAAAAAACAGAAATACATTTTATCCTATGGTTTGATAAAGTCCAGTCCCTGACTCTTTGACCTCAAGCGCTCGTGTAGAACATCAGAACAGGAAGGGACCAGGCCAAAACATACTTTTCAAATTCACATCCTGGTGACCTACTTTCTCCATCCAAGTCTTACATACCAAACTTTCCATAGCCTCCCAAAATAGTGCTACCATCTGGGGACAAATTCCCCCAACACATGAGCTTTTTGAGGCAACCCTTCATATGTAAGTCATAATAGTCACACTTTTTATTATACCCTAATGTCTCTAAGAATTTAGATTATACAATGTAAGAGTCAAAGTATCAATGTCAACAAAAATGTCTTAGTTCATCATTATGGACAACAGTTCCTTCCTGAAATAGTACATGGGATTTACACATCCACTTTCTTTTTATAAATGTGCAATGCAGTAATGAAAACTAGGAAGAACTGTAAAACTCCAACTTGTAAAATCTCTTTATGCTCAACAGCTCAACATTACTTGTTATAAACACCTTCAATAATCATAAAGTATTTATAATTACTTCATCTCTAGCTGTCTTAAGATTCACATTGCTCCTAATAAGCATCTGAATGATTCATAGTTGTATTTAGTATCATTTCAGTACACATTCACTGAGACCCTAGATGGTCTATGTTCTGAGTTAGACTGAAAGACACAAAAAGGAAAAAAGTGATAAAACTATGTCTGAGAAGAGAAAACTTGCTAAGTTATTTAAATAGTCTTTGTACTCTGGCCATGAAGCATATATTTAACAACTGAAAATATGATTAATTATTTTCCATAAGAGGAGTCAAAAGGGGGAAAATTCAAAGGACATTCACAATGGAAGGAATTACATTTTCACACATAGAGTAACCAGCTTGGTTAAGCACATAGTTTAAAATAGATTGAACTACAATGAAGATTTTAATAATGGATTTCTCTCCGTCTTAGAAGTACTTAAATTAAAGATGAAACTAACTATTGCTTTATCTAGGCCATACCCTGGAGGAACTGGCAGGATAGTTCTTTGCAATTTAAGGTCTTTGATTCTGTGTAGTCTAATTCCATGTGCTTCTGACAGTAGGGTTTGCATAAGGTCCTTTGTGGAATGACAATTGATCTTATACTTAGGAAATCTTTAAAGATCTTCTGAATCATTTTGCCATTTGCTTACTTGTAGATCTGTGATAAGCTTTGACTTAGAGCTGCACACTAAATTAAATACTAGTAATAACCAAAGATTATGATCTTTTGGTAATAACCAGTGGAGTAAGGTGTTATTAAAAGATGTACCCACCATAAATGAATTTCCTAAATCTTCCATTAGACAATATAGAAAGAACCTAGTTCCTATGGATCTTCTCAATTCCATTTTATTGGCCTATTTTCCTTAATGGCACTAATAACTTTAGCAAGGCTGTGTTTTATGCTCAATACGCAACTAATTAAATAATTTCAATTGTTATATTGAACTGCTTACCAAGTTTTAAAATGGTATCCGTGGATTATATCACCCATGGATATTTCCACTGTAATCTCTCCTCTCCTCTCTCTTCTTCTCCCCTCCTCTATTTCTCCTCCCTTCCTTTTCCTTTCCCATCCCTCCCTTCTCCTTCCCCTTCCTATTTCTTTTTCTTCATTCAATGTTACTGGGGTTCAAATTCAGAGCCTTGCACTTGCTAGACAAGTTAGGCAAGCATCCTGCTTACGTCCAGTGTCTCTGCTTATACTCAGTTGGATTCAATGACTGAAAAGCAGTGGCTTTCTGACTTTCAGTGAATAAAAGAAAACAAAAAGAAAGAGAAAACAATGGGATGGAGAAAATATTGAGAGATGGTGTGGAGAAAAATTGATAGAAAGCAAAGAAGGAGAGGAAATGGAGAAGAAAGGAAGAACTGAGAGGAAAGGAGGAAAGAGAACAGGGCTTGGCAGGACTCGATACCAGTGGTCCAACGTTGCTTCTTAGTAACAGCTGGCCCTTTCTGATCATGTGTCCCCTTTAGAGGTTATCTCAACTCCAAATGTGTTTTAATACCCTCTCTCTGTTCATATTTGGCCTATTGAATTTGTTTTTAACCTGCTTTGTCCCCTGTGGTCATTTAATTTATGGCTCTTAGATTACATTTCAAGCTCTTCCAAGCAATCTAAGTGCTCAGCACATAAGATCAAATTATTTAAAATGAATTACGTTATGTTCAATGGAGATTTGTCAAATAACTCTCATTGGTTTCTTTGTCGATTTCCATTTGTGATAACATTTAGTCCACCTTGATTCGCTTGCTGTTTATCCTCTATTCTCAACATGAAATAGCACGTGTAGCCCCACTTCATCTCACCTCTACTTGACAGTTACTGGAGCCACGTCCTTTATATCCTGGCAATGAAGCCAGTAGCCCTTAGTCTCTTCTACTCTACTACAATACATCATAAGTGAGAAGGCAAAAAAAATTATGTTATTATGAATTAGTATCTCATATTCTGCTGTTTTTCCTCATCCTCTGTAATAAAAGAGCTTTACCCTATTAATTCTGAAAGAGTAAATGAAGACTTGTGGTCAAGTCTTCAACCCTTTTTTTCATACAAATTATTCAGTTATATGCAAATTGGAGCATCAAAACTACTTACTTTCCTCTCAGAAATCAATTTGTTTTGATTTTTATACCCTTCCAGTTAATTTTATGGCTTATGTTGTAGTTTGGCTTTAGAACA